GGGACTCCAGGATCACGACCTGAGCCGAAGGCAGTCGCTCAACCGACTGAGCCACCCAGGCGCCCCTCCTCTGTATATTTTCTAAAATAAAAAATACACCAGATCCAGTAACATACAATGGCTATGTGCAAAAGGAGGGGAAAAAAAAGTGCCTGGCTGTTTCAGTCACAGGAGCACATGACTCTTGATCCGGGGGTCATGAGTTCAAGCCCAACGCTGGGCACAGAGATTATTAGATGCATAAGCAAGCCTAAAAGCAAGGAAATGACCATAGTAGGAAGGCGGCCAGTCTGTGACGCTGACCGAGGGGCTGGCTCAGGAGCAGGTGCCCAGCGGCTGAGGGTCGCCGGTACCTCGGATAGTGGTGACGACTGCACAATGCTGTGAATGTACGAGATACCACTGCATTGCACGGTCTAGCTTTTATACACCTTAAGATGGTGAGCTTTATGTCGCAACAGTGCATTTAACCCAATAAAAAAGCCGTAATTGAACACTAAGAATATCAGGATTAATACTGCCCAGCGGCGGCCTCTTCATTTAAGCATCAGCAGTGGTGGCAGGCGGACAGGTGAGGCTCCTGGCGCCAGGACAGAAGCGCTGGGCACGCCTTGGGAACAGCACATCCGGTGAGAACTTCCCATCCGCAGGGAACAGAGGGGACAGAGAAACCAGACAGACACACCCAGAATCCAGCCCGGGAACCCTTCCGGGATTAGGGACCCGCTCCCCCCCGAGTCAACGGCATGGGGGGAGGAGACCAGACAACCGTGCAGGGCGTTTGCGTCTTGTCCTGGGCTCCAAGCCCACCTTGCATGCAGGTCTTGGGGCTGACCTCCCAGACCCCCGGGAGGCCTGCGAGACTGAGGAGGAGGGAAGAAGGACTTCCTCGGCTCTGAGATACTTCCCGGTTTCCTCGGTGCTAAGGTCTGAATGCTTGTTTTCCCCAAACCCATATACTGAAATCCTAACCAGAGGGGCTTTGCTATCTCCACCTAGATTTTGGAGGGTGAAGTGGCCAGGAGTCTTGGCCTCGACCCAGGCAGAGACCGGCGCCCCACACGGGTGGGGCCACTGGTGTGTGATTCCAGCCACAGAGATCCCAGAGAATGGCATATAACCCACGTGGTGTAACTGCATAATCCCATAAGGGGGGCATCCAAGACACCGGTGGCGTGGGCTGCGCCCAGTGAAGCTGTGGAGGCAGGACCTCCGCCCCACGGGCCTGGACGGCGACAGGGAGCCAAAGAGAGTCCTCTGATGCCTTCGGGTTCTGGACGTGCCCAGGAATGTCCACCCAACCCTGTCCTGCCATGGTGCTTTGGAAGCTCATGGTCTGGTCTCATCTCACAGCTTCCCAGCTAGAGGGGATCCTGCCTCAGGGTGAATTTGTACCTCGAGTCTCCCACACCTGATTTACTCGGGAAGCCAGCATCAACCTCCCCACCCCTTGGCACTGGGGGTACCAGTCCTGGTTGGTCCCTTGTCTGAGCTCCGAGGTACTGGCGACCCCAGCTGGTAATGTCTTTGGTCCCCCAGCCCCGGGGCTCCCACCAGTCCTCGTCTCCCCGGGCTGGAGCACCATCTCCCTCGCATGTGGCTCCGTGTTCCTGGCATGGCTTGGGATACGGTGGTGTGTGAGGGAGAAGAAAACGGCTCTGCTTTGTTTTTACATGCATACTGAAGCAGTTAGGGGTGAATGCCCAGAATTTGTTTAAAAATATGCCAGCCAAAAGAGGGGAGAACAGGAAAAAAAAAAAAAAGGGAGAACAGAGGAAGCCGTTGGTGGGAAATAGCAGGGTGACAGGTATGAGGGGTTCAAGCGTGTCTGGGAGACTTCACAGCGAACACACAAATGGAAGCAGTGTTCTGCTCCAGTGTAAGATGGACCTGAGGGTGCCGAGCTCATGACCGTCCTCTGGCCTTGGGGATGCCCTTCATCTGTGTGGACGTGGGGCCCGAGACTGTTAGCTTCAAAAACAGTAACGTAACTGTGACCCTTTCTGTCCGTTTATCGTCAGCTTACTACTTCCTCCAGGAAAACTTATAAATATTTTAGGTCTTGCCAAAACTACCAGCAGAAAAAGAAAGGGAAAAAGCATCACTCCTCAATTTTTTAGGGAAACAACTGGAAAACAAGTACTCACCAGCTGATGAAAGGAACGCACAGTCTACATGACTGATAATATTCAAAATGCTCAGTCATAAAAATAAAGGCCTTTTATTTGGTTTTTCTACGCCGTTACAGGAACCCATGGCAATACTCTGGAACCCACGAGGCCTGCGGCCACACCCGCACCTGCTGCGAGCATCTACGGAGAAGCCGAAGGGTCACGACACACACTCGGGGTCACGGGGTCACCTTCTTGTAGGTGATGTGAAGATGTTGAGTCATGGGCTGGGTAGTGGTCGCCATGGAGACTGTCTGTTCAAGTTTGCCTTCAGAATTCAGCCTGAATTTTCGGGTGATCTGAGCAGAACAAAACAAACACCTTAGTTTTACCTTCTAAAGGCGGCCCGCCATGGGCCAAGTGCTCTTTTAGGGCTGCAACATGCCACCCCCGTTGTCAGAGGCCTGTGGGCCGCACAGTGTCCCCGCCAGTGGGTGACGGACACTCAGCCCACAGCCGCTGCGGGGCGTGCCAAGATCAAGGGGTCCTGACCCCTGGGTCCTTCCTCTGACCCTCGGTTGTCCCCAGAAGACCAACAGGCATGCATGAAACCTGGTCTCATCTCAGCTCATTTAGAACCCAGCCACTTTTTCCTTTCAGACAAAAGCTGACCTTCCGATGCATTCCTGCTTTACCCCCCTTCCCTTTCATGCTTAACAACCTGAACTGACATCACCCGTGTTCTCGAAAAACTCAGCGCGACCACCTTTGGAACCACTAGTTTATCCCAACAAAGTGTGGCGGCCAATGAGAAAGTCCTATCCTTACTGAGCGTGAAACAACGGTAGAGACACAAACGGATGGCCGACATCTCCCCAGTGTTCTGGAACACACCGGGGGCTCCAGAAATGTATGCAACAGGAGTTCTCCTCTATAGCCAACCACTCTGTAACTGACCATCTGGCACAGAAAAACCAGAAAAGCCACATCTCAGAAAGCCCATTTAAAGGCATAAGGGAACCAGACCAGAAGGCAAAACAAAGGTCCCGGAGAGAAGAGAGTAGAGACGCAGCTGGGAGCAACCGTTCACCTGAGGAATGTGCGTGCTATGAGGGGACAGCAGTGGGGCCAAGAGGCTGGGGAGCCGGGCCAGCGCTCTGATTCCTGGCATACTTTGGAATGTGTGCCCATCGAGGAGGAGAGGCCATGGAAAGACCCCGGACCTTTGGCTGGGACCCAACAGGCTGCACTCTAGGAGTGAGGGCTAACCAGAAATGGACAGGGAAGGCCAGCTTCAAAACAGCTCAGCCTCCAGCAGTCAGGCTCTGCCCTCCCTGGACCGACGGCCAGCAGCACGAGGACCGCTCCGTGGTAGCAGAGAGCATCGCACGGAGCCTCACGGCATCTACAGTTTTCACAGGTGGTGCCAAGAAACAGAACAAACCGACTGAGCAAGCAAGGTAAGAGCAGCGGAGGTGCCAGGAGCAGATGCCCCAGGGCAGGTGTGCCAACACCAGAGTCACCAGGAAAGGACACGGAGCTTTTCAGCAGAGGACTGCCTCCACCAGAAAGAATAAAATGGGAATTCTGTAACTGCAAAATGCAATCAGCAGAATAGACACTGCCGGAAAACAGTCTGTAGAAAAACCCGGGTGGAACCGGGAGGAGGACGGACGGAAGCCATGACGGAAGCGAAGAAACACAGTGGAGACCCGAAGTTCTGACATGCATGCTGGAGATCCCAGGAGATGGGAAGAACGGAACACAAGCCAAACGTGATGGGGTCACAGCCAGCTCTTGGAGGCTGACTGGACATACAGCAAGTCGCAGATGCAATTACATCCTAGCAAGATGCCGGCAGCTCACCAAGGACCAGCCAGACACCCAGGGACCCGTGGGAGGACAGCGTGTCCAGGGACCAACAGGCCACATGGGCTCTGGGCTTCCCCACAGAAGAACGGCAGCCAGAAGACGACGGGATGGCATCTCAAACCCATTAACATAACCACCACCCAAAGCATTCTCGGTGCAGTGAAAATACTACTCAAAAACGAAGGAAAAGGGCGCCTGGGCGGCTCAGACGATTTGAGCATCTGCCTTCGGCTCAGGTCATGATACCGGGATCCTGGGATCGAGCCCCGCATCGGGCTCCCTGCTCAGCGGGAGGCCTGCTTCTGCCTCTCCCTCTGCTGCTTCCCCTGCTTGTGTGCTCTCTCGCTGTCAAATAAGTAAATAAAATCTTAAAAAAAAAATGAAGGCAAAATGAAGACATTTCTAGACCAAAAAAACTCCGCAGAGGACTTACCAGCAGGAGTCCTCACCCCCTGGAAGAAAGTACCAGAGGAATTCCGCAGGCTTTCAGGGGAGAGGCCCACGGCAGCACGGAGAAGCAGGGACAGATGCGGCGCAGGGGAGCAGGGAGCCCGCGGCTGACCACGGTAGCGACGTGGCCCCAGTGCGCGCTGCTGAAGCGCACGAGTCGGGAACCCGAGGCGGCAGCGGCGCGTGTGAAGGGAGCTGGCCCGCGCCCATGGACGGGCGTGAAAAACGGCCGAAACCTTAGTGCTGTTTCTGAAAATGCCCCCCCCCATTCAAAGTCAAAACGCTGGTGTGGCACATACTACACCCTTACTTCAGAAATCTAAGTTTTTGTTTTTAAGCGAAGAGCGCCGCCTGTGACAGGTTTTGACGAGGCTCCCAGCTCCTTTTTAGCCAGCGGTACCAAGGAGGGACACTCCTGTTCTCTGGAAAGGTGTTTACCCATGTTTTCAACTGGGAGAGGAGATTTCCAAGGGTCATCTGCAAGGAAATCTCGGACTCGTGCGAAAATGACATAAAACATCTGTATTTACTCATAAGGAAAAAGCTTCATTTTGTTGCCATTAGGAAAAAGGGTAGTGTAAGACCAGAAAAAGTAAAATAAAAAAATAAAACTGATACCCGCCCCCCCACAAAACCCCACGACCGCAGAAGCAGACGGGGCAAGGGAGACACTTGGAGTCCGAGACCCGTGTCCCAAGCGCCGCCGCCGTGAGGAGCTGGACACGCGGCCCCAGGCTCCGCCCCAGGTGCATGTGGAACTGACACCCCAGCGCTGCAGAGCCCAGGCGCCTGGCATGCCCGCCGTGGTCTGAGAGGACCTGTCCCAAGGTCCCTGCGGCAGTCTGGAAGCAGTCCGAGCACTGGCTTATGTCAGACGCCCGCGAACACAGACCGCATCTGTAGTCCGCGGGCATCACCGAAGGACAGCAGGATGAGGTACCACAAACGAGCCGGTAAGCAGGAAGACAGAAGAGGACACAGGGCGGGAAGGGGGAGAGCAGAGCGCCCAGAACCAGACAGAAAGGACACTTCGTGGGCCAGGCAAGTATTCCCATGCTATTTTAGCATCTTTATTTTTTTTTAAGGATTTTATTTATTTGACAGAGAGAGACACAGCGAGAGAGGGAACACAAGCAAGGGGAGTGGGAGAGGGAGAAGCAGGCTTCCCGTCGAGCAGGGAGCCCGATGCGGGGCTCAATCCAGGACCCTGGGATCATGACCTGAGCCAAAGGCAGACGCTGAACGACTGAACCACTCAGGCGCCCCTTGATTCTACATTACTTTTTCTGGAATTTCATTTACAAATAAACAAGGCTTTTACCTTTGAATCACTTCCCAGAGGACACGAGGTGGCGTGGAGACATGCCCCACCTGCACCCACACTTGCCTTTGTCATGGAGACACAGTGGTCTTACGGCGCCCTCGCCTGAGCGCCTGTGACAGACTGTGCTCACAGAGCACAGGGGGGGCAGGGGGGTCAGCTGCGCAGGGGTGTTCGGGTGGGGCGGCCCCGTGGGAGCCAAGGCATCGGGCAAGGCCACTGCTTGTTCCCTCGGAGCCTGGCAGGTGCTGAGGCTGACAGTCACCTCATAGACGCATCCAACGCCTGAGCACAACTGGCCTTTTCCAGGCGGCTCTGTCCCTGTGGGCTGCAGGGGCTCCTGGCAACACCGGGTTTCACGGCACAGCGATCTAAGTGTGGGCCCCCCACAGCCCTTCGCTGGGAACCCTGTCACGGCCATCCTGCTCCAGAACAAACATGGTGACAAGCAGCACACGAGCAAGGGACAGACCACAGGCCCGGGAGTGCACATCACGACTGCCAGGTCCCAGGAGGGGTGGGGAGCTGGGGGAGCAGGGCGAGGGGCCGCCCCGTGCCCACTGCCCCAGGACCGCTGCCCCCGCCACAGAGAGGACAGCCACCACAACTAGAAACAGCACTGCGGTGCACGGGCCCTGGAGCCGCCTGTCGGCTTCCTTTGGGTTCGCAGTCCCTCAGAGGACGTTTCCCACGCCATCTTCCTCTTCCAGTGGAAGTCATTAGAAAGATTTAACGCGGACGCAGGCTGCACGTGGCCTCGCTCTGGTTCCCGTGGCCTCTGGCAACAGCTAGCAATCTGGTGAGTTCACTCGTACTAACTCTGTGGTCATCCCGAGTCGGCCACCACAGCGAAAGCGTCATCGAACCAAGACCCGTCTGCGCCACAGACGGATCCCCATGTGAGGAAGAGGGGGTTGGAGGCAACCACTAGCCTGTACAACGTCAAGGGGAGCTTGTTCAGGCTGTCGGGGGATCAGAGGCCACGCGCCCACGCAGCCCAGAGCCCAGCTCCCGCACACAGAGCCGGGTCAGGGGGTCCCGTGGCCCCTGAAGGTTCAGGAAGAGTCCATGTGAACAAACACAAGTTCTTATCTCAGCCAAGTGTGCTCACTTTCCCGAGACTGCAGCTACCCCACAGAAACAGGACCGCGCAGAGAAGTGTGATGTGAGAATTTCTCCATGTTTTAATGCTTTCTCAAAGCGTTTTTCAGCAGGGAAAAGGTGGAAAAGGAAGCTCAGGAGGAAGATGGCTGTGGCTGTGTTTTAGGCCCTAAAACAAAGACGTCAGGAAGCCACGGTGGCTAATGCGCCCCCCGTGGAGCAGGTGTGGGTGTGGAGGCAGGAAGGGCCCAGCTTGTCGGGCACGGGAATCCCAGTGTGCTGACAGCTTCCAGGCCGTCTTTTTTTTTTTTTTTAAGATTGTATTTATTTATTTGACAGAGAGAGACATAGGGAGAGAGGGAACACAAGCAGGGGGAGTGGGAGAGGGAGAAGCAGGCTTCCCGCAGAGCAGGGAGCCCGATGTGGGGCTCGATCCCAGGACTCCAGGATCATGACCTGAGCCGAAGGCAGTCGCTTAACCAACCGAGCCCCCCAGGCGCCCCTTCCATGCCGTCTTTACAGAAATGATGGCTTGCCGCCCGTCAGCACAACCGGGGATCAGAGCACGTGCACGCTGCCTGCCGCCAACATTCAGGTTCTTCCCCCAACCCCGGCTTTCCTGGGATGGGACCAGCACACAGACTGTGGGTG